GTATCCAGAAAAAGATACATAGAGGGGGTGGGGTATCCAGGAAAAGATAGATACATTGAGGGGGTGGGGTATCCAGGAAAAGATACATAGAGGGGGTGGGGTATCCAGGAAAAGATACATAGAGGGGGTGGGGTACTCAGGAAAAGGTACATAGAGGGGGTGGGGTATCCAGGAAAAGATACATTAAGGGGGTGGGGTATCCAGGAAAGGATACATTGAGGGGGTGGGGTACCCAGGAAAAGATACATAGAGGGGGTGGGGTATCCAGGAAAAGATACATAGAGGGGGTGGGGTACTCAGGAAAAGGTACATAGAGGGGGTGGGGTATCCAGGAAAAGATACATTAAGGGGGTGGGGTATCCAGGAAAGGATACATTGAGGGGGTGGGGTACCCAGGAAAAGATACATAGAGGGGGTGGGGTATCCAGGAAAAGATACATAGAGGGGGTGGGGTACCCAGAAAAAGATAGATACATTGAGGGGGTGGGGTACCCAGAAAAATATAGATACATAGAGGGGGTGGGGTAGAGATACATTGGACAAAAGTAACATAATCAGGTAACAAAAAACGCAACAAACGAGAGAGAGAGAGAGAGAGAGAGAGAGAGAGAGAGAGAGAGAGAGAGAGAGAGGCGTTTGCTTCTCCCATCGAGACAAGGTAACAGAGGCCGGGAAAAGTAAAACATAAAGAAACTAAGAGATAAACGATGAGTGACTTAAGTTAATTATTTTCAGTAAGAGTTTGTGTTCGTTTGTGTAAAGAGAAGCACATAGACACAATAATGGTCATTTAATGCTGAAAAAAAAGTAAGAACAGACAGACAGAAACAAAAAAGGGAAAGTAAAAAAGTAGGACCTACCAGTTGCACCCTCCAAACACCTGCTCAGTAAGACTTTTGCGTTATTCACATCACAAATAGATCATATTATACGAGCCGAAGATTAGAAGTGTTCCAAAAGGGTAACACGCAAAAAGAAGGAGGAAAGATAAGAACGATATATATTTGATAGAAATAGAGGGACCACATCACACGAGAGCACTCGCCAACTATCCACCAGTGGCGCCCTCCGACCACCCGCTCAGAAAGAGTTTTGCGGCATTTGCAGCACAAATAGATTATATAAGAGCCCAAGCTTGGAAGTGTTCCAAAAGGGTAACAAACACAGAAAAGAAAGAGGAAAAAATAATATAATATTTGATAGGAATAGAGGGATCACATAACACGAGAGCACCTGCCAACCACCCACACGACATGTCTTATGTGACTTACCGGGTCATGTTGACGGAGGCCGCCATGACAGGACTCAGATGTGTCGGGAACACCGCGCTCAGCCAGCAACACACCACAGCAAACACACCCGTCATCGCTCCCAGCACGTCACACGGCTCCATCATCTAGTCCTCTCACGCACGCACGCTCACAACCGCCAACAGCGAGCAGCAACCAGCAACAAGGCAACTAGCAGCCTGTTATCAGCAAATCCAGCAAACAGCAATTCCAGAAATCAGCAAACAGCAGTCAGAAAATCCAGCAACCAGTAATCAGCAACAAGCAACCAAAAACAGCAACAAGCTATCAGTAACCAGCCGTGAATAATCAGCAAATCCAGCAAACAGCAACCAGAACTCGACAACAGCAGCCAGCAGTGGCAACGACAACCGGTAACAGCAACCAACAACAATGACCAGAAATCAGTACGAGCAACCAGCGACCAGCGCCAACCGTTCTTTCAGCTCGGCTCACTCGGCGACGCCACTGGTAAAGACAGCAGTTCGGTATAGAGAATGTGTCACTTCGGACATGACGGAAATGTCAGAGCTTTCTGGATAGATGGCGTCAACAATTGGTGTGTACTTGGTGATGACTTTGCAGTTGATGTGTACTCGGTGATGGCGTCACAGATAGTGTGTTCTCGGGGATGACGTCACAGATAGTGCGTACTCGGGGATGACGTCACAGATAGTGTGTACTCCGTGATGACCTCACGATTGTTGTGTTCTCGCAGGTAAGTTCACTATTGGTGCGTACACGTTGATGACTCCACAGAGAGTGTGTATTCGGTGATGACGTCAAAGGTTTGCGTGTACTCGGTGTACGTCAGAGTTCCATCAAGTATCTGGGGATAATTGAGACATAAAATCAAATCATTAATACTCAGCTGTATTGAAAATACTGACGAACTATAATAATATTATGGTGTGAGTATAACAAGAAGATGTTTCTCGAATGGTGATGAGTAAGCAAGCACAAGCAGAATTTTTTTCGTCGAACAAACGTGACAGTGTAGAGCAGACGACAGCCCAGCCAATGGCGGCACTCACAGACTCTTG